GTCCCACCCCTCCCCTCTCTCCCTCTCCCCTCCACTTCAGTCCCTCCTCTGTGCTGCGCCCCTCCGTTCCCTCCCCGCCTCCTTGTCCTCTCCTCTTCCCTGGGCCTGCTCCGAGCGCCCTAGCCGCGCTGACCCCCTTTCCCTGCGCCCCGGTTTGCAGCAATCGGCGGGACTCGCTGGCAGCGGTGGCGGCCGCCGCAGTCTAGGGAGAAGCCAGGGATTGGGGCGGGAGCGGGTGGGGGGGGGGGAGGGAGAGGACGGGAAAGGAGGCGGCCTCCCACCTCCCGCCCGACTTTCAGTAGGGGTCTGGGGAGTCCAAGGAGTTTGGGGGACTCTGGCGTATCTAAGAGAGACAGGCTGTTGGAGGCTGGAGAACAGCGCAGCCCCGACTGAGCAGAGCCTCCTCGTAAACCAGGTGAAGAAATGGGAATTGCGTTTGGGCCGTTCCCGCCCCGCAGCCGGCCAGGACAGGGTCCCCGCCAGCCCTCCCTCCAGCCGGGGGCTTTGGGCCCTATTCCCTGCGCCTTTGGCATTGACGCGCCGGGTGCGCGCAGAGACGCAAAAGCTCTGCGAGGGTAACCCTTCTCATTCATTCATTTTAATTCATTCGTTTGCTCGTTTATTCATCCCTTCATTCTACAAACTAAGCGCCTGCCCAGGGGCTGAACCTGGTAACCCCAAGAGAGGGGAGAGGGGGAGACGGCAGTGACCTGCAAGACTAGCCGGCGTCTGAACGCTGCGGAGGGGGCCGCGGGCGCGCAATGCGTTACAGCAGGGGAAAGCCGCTAGGAATCCAGGGGCAGGGCGCGGAGGAGGCCACAGCGCCCCCTTTCGGCCGAGCCTCCAGGGTAGGGTCAGCCGCCTGGCCAGACCTCCGGTCTTCATCCGCCTGGGCTAATTAGCTTCCAAGTGCACCCCCAGCTCTGCAGAGCAGCTCACGTCTCCTCCAGCCCTTAAACGTTCCCCTCCAGCGCTTCCAGCTGGACAGAACTGACTTCTCCTACCTTTTTCCTTCCGTAGCCTCTCCTGGCGGAGCACCGTTCCAGAGTGGTGGCTTTGAAATCAAACTCTGAACCTAACTGCCTTGGCTTCTGTGCCCTGCTGCACTCACCCTCATCCTCCCTTCCATCCACTTCTCAGCACATTGGGACACAGCCAGTGCGTTCATGGGTCCAACTGGTTCTTCATTTAGAAAGGGAGTTATTTTAAGAGGTTTTTTTTGATCCAATATGCAATTTACTCATGAGGACACTGAGGCCCACAGACAGTGGTGTCTAAAGTCACAGAGCTGATAAGCCTAGTTTTCAGCCTCCTGATTCCCACCTCCAACTGCCCTGATGAGGTTTGGGGTTCTGAAATGGGGAGGGACGTTGCCCTGGAAGCCAGCTGGTCACACTGGCTTAGGCACACAGGGTGGCACTTTCTAGATGAAGCTCTCAGTCTAGACTAGAGTCTTGCAAAACCCCCCTTTGGTTAGTGCCCCAGAGTTGGTCTTGCTGAATTTGGCACTGACTCACCCCAACCAATCCCAGAAGAGATGGGTGAACTAACCAGATTGCCAATTTATTGTTCTCAACAAAATTGGCAGGTGTTCTAGTGCAGTGCAGGTTCTGGAGTCAGACAGCCTGAGTTTGAGGCTTGGCTCTTCTGCTTACAAGCTGTGTGGGCCTGGGAAATTATTTAATAGTACTTTAATTTTCTGATCTTTAAATATGTTTTTTAAAAATGATTTTAGAGGGAGAGCAAGGGAGAGGGAGAGAGAGAGATATACATCGATGAGAGAGAAACATCAACATTGAGATCAGCCGCCTCCTGCATGCTCCCCTCCCCACTGGGGATCGAGCCTGCAACACCAGCGTGTGCTCTGACCTGGAACTGAACAGGTGACCTCTTGGTGCATGGGTCAACACTCAACCACTGACCACACTGGCTGAGCCAATTTTCTTGTCTTTCAAATGGGGTTAGGAATACCTACCTCATAGGTAGGTTTAAATGAATTATTATTTTTAAATGGCTTAGACTGGTGCCTGGTCCATAACAAGGGCGTAAAGAAGGTTAGCTATAGTCACCATCCCTATCATCATCATCATTATCAAGGTGACCAGATGCTCAAATGGATGTGCAGCATGGTCCCTCTCTCTAGGCCAGTTGTTCTCAACCTTCTGGCCCTTTAAATACAGTTCCTCATGTTGTGACCCAACCATAAAATTATTTTCGTTGCTACTTCATAACTGTAATGTTGCTACTGTTATGAATCGTAATGTAAATATCTGATATGCAGGATGGCCTTAGGCGACCCCTGTGAAAGGGTCGTTCGACCGCCAAAGGGGTCTCAACCCACAGGTTGAGAACCACTGCTCTAGGCAATTCTTTGTGGAAAGCAGAATTCCTGATGAGAAGGTCACAGCAGCAGGAGATTGTGGAATCAGAGGAGAGAACGCTGGCAGGTCCTCAGGGAGGTTTTCCCAGACACTGCAGAGGCATCACTCCCCAGCCCTGCCCGAGACCTTGGAGCTGGCTCTCCTGGACCAGCAGCTCTAGATTTCATGTTTTTCTCTGCTTATTAAACATCATCAACTTTTGTCTTTCTGAGCCCCTTAATCTTCCTCTGACTTGATCTTTAAATATTCTAATGCCATCGATCAGGCTGTAATCAAGTCTTGCTCTTGCTGCCTTTTTGGCCTGGGATTCAGACCTTCCCTTTCTAAAGAGGCAGCTACAGATGGCACATTTTATCCTCTTCCTCCCCCTTGAGCTGAAAGGAGGAAGGCTACTGTATCACTTCATGACCTACTTATTTATGGTTTTGGCCTTGACCGCCTCAGGGGGGTTATGAGAGCCTCGTGTTTAACACCCCTTCTGAGAAAGGGTTCCATATCTCCTTTCATTTGTCCTGAAACTGCATCCTTCCGCCTTCAAGATCCCAGCTCTCATCTGCTCAGATGCCACTGCCAAGGCCTTCCATGTTTACGCCCTTTCAAACTCCCCCCTCCTCCAGCCCCTCCAGCCTGCTGGCTTAGGGTGATCTCCTCAGGGCAACCTGTCCGCACACTCCTCAGGGCAGCCTTCTGCTCCATTCCAGCATTCTCTTCCCAGATTGACCCTTCCCCCCAAACTCTCTTCTGAACCCCCCCCCACCCCACCCGCCGGCCTTCTCCTCTTCCTGTTTAGGCCCAGACTACCAACAGCTTTCATTCCCTTAACCTGCCAGATTTGAGAAAATATGAGAAATCTGAACAGGAATAAACGACAATTCCATGTCCTTCAGATGTGATAACAAGCAGTGATGGGTGGGACCCGGCAAGGGAGGGCTGAGTCTCCCGGATTCCGTTGGCTTTAACCATGAGTGTTCTAGTGAGGTCGACGATCTGGAACCATACTTCTCAGCCTACTTGTGCCAAAGAAAAGGCTATTGATGTTTAAATTTCTAATCTATTGCAGAATGATACTATCGCAAAATACAGTGGGGATGAATTATTAGAAAAATGACATAAAAAGAAAGACATACAAAATAAAAGTCCAGTTTTTAAAACTATTAGGTCTAATGGACATAAAACACTGTCAAATTGCTTAAAAATGTCTAACTGCTCACTCAGTTTCTGTGCTTACCTTATCACGAACTGGCAGCAAATAGTTTGCAGACAGGTCATGCTTGGACTAACACTGGTCTAGAATGCTTCTGAGGTATGAGGTCAGGGAAATGGCAGCTTATAAAACTGCGTGAACATCAGGGGAGATGGTGTCAATTACTCCATTCATCTGTGCATTTATTTGACAAACATTTAATGAGCAGCAACTATGTGCCAGTCACTGTTGGATGCTAAGGCTAATAAAGACTAATAAAACAGGGCCCTAGCCCTCAAGATGTTCACAGACTGGAAGAGGAGACAGCCGCTTTAATGAATAATTAAAAGCCAGTAAAATTAGGTCAATAATAGACTGTGGGCATGGAGGCAGAAATATTAATTCTGCCTCGGGTCGACAAAAAAGGTTCTACCTTTTGTTCTGGGGTCTGGAGGCAGATCTTCAATCCCACATGGCCAACTGGCATTCCATAAATAAGTTAACTTGTGTAAAATGCTTAGCACGGTTCGTGGTACATATTGAGTGCTTCCAAAGTATTAGCTGTTTTTATTATTAAATCTAATACATTATCATCATCATTGTCAATCATCATCCATCTAGATCTACCAAGCACTATGCTGAACTTGACTTGGGGCTGTGGGGTTATAGGTAGCTTGGCTGAGGGAAGAGGGCAAACTGGTCTTAACCCAGCCCCTTTGTCAGAGGGAAGATCTTGTAGAGGAGGTGGGAGTTGGGTATTGAAGGAAGGGGGTA